CTGGTCCTGGGAACCATAGCCACATGATCTTCATGACTCTGGGCGATAGCAGGATATTTGAAAGGAGTTTCAGGGAGGGTCCAGAACTGATGGTGGACCAGAAGCCAGAGGCCTTGAACCAGATCAACAACTCTTGGCAATGAACGTTTACAAGTAAAGCTGAGTTCACAAAACAGTCTACTGCATGACATACTGCAGCTCCCGGTGTCGCCAAGATGAATGAAGAGGTGTTAGAGACAGGGGGTTAAATTGTCTTTGTTGCTATTGTAGTTAACTCATTTTGTTTGGTTGATAATTAATATTTTTAAATTTTTCTTTTTTTTCAGGGGGATGCACCAGGGCTGAGGGACAGATATGGAGGGGCTGGGAAATGAGTGATTTGGTATGCGATGTGTAATTCCCAAATAATCAATTAAAAATTTTGTGTGGTGATATTTTGTTTGTGCTCTAACAAAAAAAGCTTGTTAGACTGCAGCGCTAACCATTAGTTAGCCATAGAGGCCAAGCAGTGGTGGCACACACCTTTCATCCCAGCACCTGGGAGGAGGAAACAAGAAATGATATGGCTAGAGGAAGTGATAAGGCAGGGTGGAGACAGGAGATTGGCCCCTTCTTCACTGAGAACTTGGCGAGGTAAGAGGTGGCTGTGCCTTGCTCCTTTGTCGGTCTGATCTTTCAGCATTTACCCCCAATATTTGACTCTGGGTTTTTATTATTAAGACCAAATATAATTCATGCTACAATTATGTTAAAGAAAAAAAATTTTAAAAGATGAACGCACAGGTAACCTTGCTCTACAGATAGAGGACACCATAGTGAGAGATGAAAGACTAAAGGTTTTCCTGAATGGAGCAGGGCAGCAGGGCCACTTCCATCACCAGATTCAGAACAGCAGGGGGCTCTAGCCACTCCAATATGGCAAGAAAAATCAGACAGAGAAGGCATGCAGACAGAGAAGGCATGCAGACAGAGAAGGCATGCACACAGAGAAGGCATGCACACAGAGAAGGCATGCACACAGAGAAGGCATGCACACAGAGAAGGCATGCACACAGAGAAGGCATGCACACAGAGAAGGCATGCACACAGAGAAGGCATGCACACAGAGAAGGCATGCACACAGAGAAGGCATGCACACAGAGAAGGCATGCACACAGAGAAGGCATGCACACAGAGAAGGCATGCACACAGAGAAGGCATGCACACAGAGAAGGCATGCACACAGAGAAGGCATGCACACAGAGAAGGCATGCACACAGAGAAGGCATGCACACAGAGAAGGCATGCACACAGAGAAGGCATGCACACAGAGAAGGCATGCACACAGAGAAGGCATGCACACAGAGAAGGCATGCACACAGAGAAGGCATGCACACAGAGAAGGCATGCACACAGAGAAGGCATGCACACAGAGAAGGCATGCACACAGAGAAGGCATGCACACAGAGAAGGCATGCACACAGAGAAGGCATGCACACAGAGAAGGCATGCACACAGAGAAGGCATGCACACAGAGAAGGCATGCACACAGAGAAGGCATGCACACAGAGAAGGCATGCAGACAGAGAAGGCATGCATATAGAAAAGGCATGCAGACAGAGAAGGCATGCACACAGAGAAGGTATGCATACAGAGAAGGCATGCACACAGAGAAGGCATGCAGACAGAGAAGGCATGCAGACAGAAAAGGCATGCACACAGAGAAGGCATGCAGACAGAAAAGAGTAATGCAGCACTGTCACCTGTTGTTGCAGACATGATAGTGTAGCGAGGTCACTGTGCACAGGCTCAACATACAAAAGTCAGCGGTCTCTCATCGTACCAGTAAAAACATGTTGGGCCAAAAGTACCTCAGGGCCTGTAGGACAGAGAAAAGCCTGGCTGGAGTCTGAAGGAACCGAGTGAAGATGAGAGAGCAAAAGCTAGGTAGACGCACCTCCAGCCAGAGGGAGGGCTTGGCTGTCTCTCATTGGTTGGAGGTACCCCCACATCACAGGATGTCACTTAACCTATATAAGATGACGCTCACAGTAATAAACTGAGTTCCTGCTTTGACTTGACTCCCTGTCTCATCTGATTGTCCTGTGCTGTGGGGCTGCCGAATGGGCGGATAGCACACTCACCTTTCCCTGGGGAATAAGGAGGCTAAGGAAGCCTAGCACAAATGCATGGAAGTTTGAGATCTTGAGTAATTTATAATTGCTTCACCAAAAAGGGACATGGAGCTGTAATTCTAATAGGACGTGTTCAGAATCTCTGCCAGGTCCAGGTTGTAATGATAGCAAAAGATGTGTACTTAAAAATACTCTAAGGATAGACACACATGTCATGATCATAAAAAGACAACAGAGAAAAAAAATGCAAGTTCTCTCAACTTTTATAACCAGATTTCACACAATTATTGTCAAAATCCCAGCAATTTTTTTCCAGTTACAGACTACATTACTCTAAAATATATCTGGAAAGGAAAATGAATGAATATGACCAAAACTACGTTAAAACATCAAAATGAGAAGAATTCATCTACCTTATTTTAAAACTCACTGTATCCCACCATACAAATACTGTAGCGAAGACTATGGGATACTGACAGGCAATGTAGCAATTGCTGCTATGCAGTAATCAAGATTGTGAATCCCATTTTGCAGAGGACCAGACACATACATCAGCAAAGTAGAACAGACACTTAAGTGACAGACCCAAACACGCAGCCATGTGCAAGTAAAGGCTGCTTTTCATCAGATGATGCTGAAAACCTGCTCTTGTGGAAAGGGAAAATCTCCCTCAACCTGACTTCTCAAAACCAACAAATAACAAATCACCACTCGTGCATAAAACACTAAAATGGTTAAGGGTTTTTGTTTTGTTTTTGTTTTAATAGAAATTATTCGCAGTCGACAGCCAGGCAGAGATCTTAAAATTCCTAGTCCAAAGCATAACCTAATCATTGGGAAATAAAAAGATAAATTGGGCTTCATCTAAACTTTGTTTTGAAAATACTGTCTGGGTTTTTCTTGTTGTTGTTTGTTGAGACAAGGTCTCACTATGTAGCCCCATCTGGTCTAGAACTTTGCTATGTAATTCAGTTCCTCTTGCCTGTGCCTCCAGAGTGCTGAGATTTAAGCCATGCCTACCACACTCCACATGAATCTATAAAGAAAAAAGGGGGGGGGCTGGCGAAGTAGGGAAGGAACCAAACAGGAGAGCACAGCCTGGCATGTGTGAGGCCCCAGATAGGGTCCCAGTGGGGGACAGGCGTGCCACCATGCCTGGCTTGGGAAAATCCTTTCCCACAGCAATACCTGACAAAAGTAGACTGTATAGACTATATAAAAACCTCCTACAATAGAACAACAACAGCAAAAGTACAACTGAGCACAGCAAAAAAGATTTCATGCAGGTGGTGAGAATAAAAACATGAACAGAAGGAAATGCAAACCAAAGTGATAACAGAACATGACCTCAAGTACATCAGTGATGCTGAAATTAAAGAACAGAACAAATGGTGAAGATATTGGCCACACGTTTGTCGGGACTAGGGGGCAGGAAGGGTGAGCAGGTGGCTCACAAGCATAGAGAATTGAAACCGTTCTGCAGGTGATGGGCATACACACACCATGCTTTTCTAGAAACCCAGAGATTATGCAACAACAAATGTGAACACATGACAGGACTGGGCTTCCTATTGTAGAATTTTACTTTAAAATGTGCTGCATTTGTTTATGCTGTGAAACGTTTGTTATAATGATGCAAAGATGTGTTGCATTCTTTAATGTTGCCTTTGTTTAACTCTGTGAAGCTGTGTTACTTTGACTAAAACACCTGATTGGTCTAATAAAGAGATGAATGGACAATAGAAAGGTAGGAGACAGGATAAGAGGGGCTGGTAGACAGAGAAACTAAATAGGATTAAAAGGACTATTAGGAAGGAGTGAGAAAAGAAGGAAGAGGACTCCAGGGGTCAGCTACACAGCAAACCATGGAGAAAGAAAGGTATACAGAAATAAAGATAAAAGCCAAGAGGCAAAAGGTGGGCTTTTATGGGATAATTTAAGTTAAGAAAAGCTGTCTAGAAACAAACCTAGCTAAGGCCTGGCATTCATAAAAAAGAATAAGACTATGTGTGTGCTTATTTGGAGCTGAGTGGAGAGCCTCCAGGGAGCCAAAAGAGTTAAGAATACAAAACCCAACAACTACAGCTGCCAAGGAGAATGACGTAGCAATGTGGCTTTGATTGCCATAAGAGATGCCTCTGATTCAAGCAACTGATGGTGGGAAGGCTATGTTTATATGGGGAGTTGTATACAAGAACTCTGCATTGTCCACTTAATTTTATTATGAATCTAAAACCACAAAAAATATAAGCAAAGCATGGTGGGACCTGCCTCTAATTCCAGCACTTGAGAGATGGAGGCGGGAGGATTACAGATTAGAGGCCATCTCAGATGATTTGGTGAGACTGTCTTAAATAATACAAAGTATTGATGATGATAATAACAACAACAAACAAAAGCAGGCAAGGACTGAGGGAAACTGATTCACTCATGTACGGCTGGTGAGGGTACAAACCGTCCTCTACCCCAGATTTTGAGCTAAAAGTTTTCATGATGACTTCAGTTTTACTTTAAGGCAGGATCAAGTATCCAAGACCACTGGAGAAAAGAAGGAAGGAGCTGGTTTGGAAGAGCACGTGAGGGAAGCCCAGAAAGGCCTCCCAGTGTCCTTCCCTGCTTTGGGACAGGATAGCACTGAAACAGCCGAGATGCTAGCCCAGGGTACGTCTTCTCTAGTGACCTTGGTGATTGCTGCGAGATACAATACTTCGTCCCTGAGTAGAAGGAACAATAATTTGGAAAGCTGTCTCTGTTTTCTTCCTTTTACTGCTGGAGTTATGCACCTGAACTGCTGAGATAGGCAGGGAGGGAGAGAGATCACCAGTTTGACGTTTCCTGAAAATAGTGATTTATTCTCTGTTCAGCTATTTACAGAGATGGTCGGTTTGGAATGCTGTGAAGGTCACACGGCTTGGGTGAAAAATTCTTCCATGATGAAGAATCCTTTTCATCTCACTTGCTGGCTGTCTGGTTGAGTTAATATTCAAAAAGCATGTTGCTGAAAGGAGAAAATACAATCGATGACACAATTCCCAAATATAAAAGCTGCCTCCTCTGTGGTTCACAACGCAACAGTCGGGTTTTCAAAGGAAGCCCCCATGGCAGTCTCCTGGCTCCCCTCCTGGCTGACATGCAGTGCCTGCTCTGACCCTGGGAAGAGGTTCTGGCCTGTGTGGCTTGAGTGTCTCAGATGGAAAACATAGTGAGGGCTCATGCTGGTCTCAGAAGGGTGAGCATCGGTTAAGATCTAACTGGTCTTCAAGACCCGTTACCGCTAAACACACTGAAGAAATCCAAAGACGAAAGGAAATGTAGAGGACAGTGGATTTAATGACTCAGAGCAGGGCTGTTGTGACATCATGGCAGAGTGTGTGTCCACACGGTCCCTGCCATGTCCCCTGTGACATCATGGTGGCATATGCATCCACTCAGTGTTCCTGCCATGTCCCTGGTATGCTCACATTGTTACTCCTCTGTTGACTTAGCCTCATCTCTTTGTTTTATCAGGTTTCTTTCACTATTCTGACATGTGCGGACTCGGTTAGAGCCCTCACAACCTCTCGTGCATTGTCCAGGTCTAGAGAGGGCTCTTGACAGTCACCTGCACCTGTACTGCTGGTCCTACCTCACCACTCTCAGCCCCTCCTTGCACCCATGTCTGGAGCATCCTTGTTAACAGTGGGGACCAGAAGCACAGGCACAGCTGCAGACAGGGAGTCCAGCAGGGTCCCACATTGGATGCTCTACTCCTGTTATTTAACTCAAAGAATGAGCCAGGGGAAAAAAAAGTTCAAAAGAAAATCAACTTGTATACATTTAATTTACTGTTTTTGGTATTTTGAGGAGACAAGATCTCTATATAGTCCTCACACTGCTCTGTAACCCAGATCCTCCTGCCTCTGCCTTGCACTTGCAGACGTTAAAAGTGTGTGTGTGTGCCATCATGCCCAGCTCATGTATTTTTAAAATGTGTGCTCTATTGCTAGAGGATGACATTAAACATCCTCCTCAAGTTTAAGACAATGAATAATACTAAATGAATATAGAACCAATTGTTTTCAGCATCACTGACTATCTTCCAACTGATTTTGCAAAAATAAGAGATGGAATCATAGTTAAATAATGATATACATTGAAGGAGAGTTCTACACATCGTGTCTTCATACTGGACTCTCACTGGACTCTTCACACATGATCTTAAGCAGTAAGTCCCTCTGCTTAAGACAATACACTCTTCCTTTAGTTCACCAATATGTTGCTCTTCTGATCTCTTTTTTCCATTTGTCTCACTAGCCATCTTCTAAATCCTTCGGTCTGAATAAAATGGAGCTCCATGGCTTGGGTTCTCACTCCAGCGTTCAGTGTGACACCTTGTGCTTTGAGCTCTGTTGTAAGGCCGGATGTCACTCTGTGTACCCTGCTCTCTCTCTCTCTCTCTCTGTTCTCTGGAGAATTCCAGGCAATGCTCAACCCTGCCAGCTTTCGTTCAAGCACTGTCCTCCCTCAAAGGCCATCACCCAGGCAGTTTTGTGTCTGCCCTCATGTGCTGGCATTCATGTGGTGAGCACAAAGGCCTGGTCCATGTCCTCCAAGGTGAATGTGTGGAGGGGTCTGTCACAGTCCCCAGGGTCCTTGGAAGACAGCTGAAGCACAGGAGAAGCCCAGCCTCACTCCTACCCAGTGTGGCTGCTGCCCTCATTCTATCCCAGATGTTCCCCAAAACACTCCTCAGTAAACCGCCTGCACCCAACTATACACTCGGAACATTCGGACTAGGAACCTGTGTTTGGATCTGGAGATTTCAAACATCTGGGGTCATTTAGAAGTTTCATCTGAGGCAAACTTAAAACCTGTAACTTGCCCTGGAGACAGTTACTCCAGAAGAAGGCAGATTTCACTGGAACCTGCATTAAGAGAGACACTTTCCCAAACACTCGTCCACCCACTTCCTGAGTCCAGCCATCTGAAGACCCTCAGAACAAAGACACTGATAAGCCATGTCCCCCTTGTTAGGGAGGTAGAGACTTACAGGGAAAGTCATCTGTGTGGGTCAGTTGTGTGGTTCACCCAAGAAAAATCATAAACAACCAGAAATAACTCCTAGAGAATAATGAGGCCCCTCCAAGAAGGCTCTGAAGAACTGATACAGACTCTGATTCACAGTGGTGATAATGGGAGTACAAATAGTCTCCTGTCAGCCAACTTTATAAGACGCACAAGGTGAAAAATGAAGAAGATTGTAAACATGCCAAGCTCTTCTACATGGGTTCCCTCCAGAGGGTTTGAATAATAGCCATTACACTCAACTTACGCTATCTGAACTCATCTTCTTGCGGTATTTCCTCCGGGTGCAGTAGACACTGACGAGAGTGATGATCAGCATCACGACAAACACGGCGACAGTGGAAGAAACAGCAATGACAACGGTGTCTTGGGTGGACCCTCTCTTCTCACACAGTCTTCCCATGTACCACCAGTCTTCACCTGCAGGACACCTACACGAAGAGATGTGGTGACATTTACGGTATCGTATGGGTGACATTTAACTGTGAACATCTTCAGAGTTAAAGGGCCCTTGCATATTTGAACACAGATAGTCACTGACGTAGGTAACTATTTGACCCTAGACGACCTGAACCAATGAAGAGAGCACCAGGAGAGGATGATAACTAATCTGATACCGAGTTAGGAGCCGGGAGAGCAGGGAGAAAGCCACCTGAGGGATCTGATCCACTGCTGTGGGTGCCACACCTTGGCTAAGGACTCAGCACTTTAGCGTGCTCATCTAGAAAATGGGGACCTGAGAACCTGCAGAGTCGAGGGACAGGACTGCTGTGAGCATTAAGACATGTAGTACTATAATAAGATATGTAATATAACAAGATATGTAATATAATAAGACATGTCATATAATAAGACATGTAATATAATAAGATATGTAATATAAGATGTGTCATATAATAAGATGTAATATAATAAGACATGCAATATAATATGTCATGTAATAAGACATGTAATATAATAAGATATGAATATAATAAGATATTTCATATGTGTGTAATATAATAATATATGTAATATAATAAGACATGTCATATGTATGTAATATAATAATATATGTAATTCTGTCAGTTAGACTCTAGTGCACTATGTCCTCACCAATAATTGTTATGGTGGCTGCCAAAAGACCCAAAGGGAGTTCAAAAGAGTAACTGTTCTGGACAGTTCTATGTCAGCTTGATGTCATCTGAGAGGAGGGAAGCTCAATTAAGAAAATGCCTCCATACGATTGAGCTGCAGTCAACCTGTAGGGCATTTTCTTTATTGGTGATTGATTTTGGAGGACCCGGCCCATTGTGGGTGGTGCCACCCCTTGGCTGGTGGTGCTGCGTTCTATAAGAAAGCAGACCGAGCAAGCCATGAGTAGCAAACCAGTACCCTCCCATAGCCTCTCCATCCGCCTCGGCCTCCAGCTTCCTGCACTGTTTAGGTTCCTGTCCTGACTTCCTTCAGTGATGGACTACAGTGTGGAAGTCAAATACATCCTTTCCTCGCCAGCCTGTTTTTGCTCACAATGTTTCATCACAGCAATAGAATCCCTAACTAAGACATTTTCTCAGTGTAATCCATGTGCATTATCAGCATCAATTCCAGCAGGACAAGAACGTATCTAGTGAGAGAGTGAGACAGTGAACCTCCCAAGTGAGCCCTCACCTGCACTCGGCTCTATTGTCTTGGACAGTGCAGATTCCGCCGTTCTGACACTCAACCTCTGAGCAGGAATTGTGGACGTTCGAGGTGGGGACTGGGTCTGGGACGATCAAGGTGGGGACTGGGATTGTCGACGTAGAGTTGAGGTGAGATATATCTGCAGAGGGAAGGATGGTGGAAATCGGCTTTTGTATTACTAGTCATTGGGCAGAGATAATACTCAGAGTTCGGGCTTGTGACAAAAGTCTTGGTGTGTGATCCCCAGCGTTCCTGTGCAGTCAGATGAGAATCAGGCAAGGGTGGAGAGTGGCTTTTGGTGGCAGACTTGATGTCAATCTCCAGACCCCATGTTTAAGAAAAAGCCATATGAGGTCTAAGCACTGAAGAACCAGGGAGAGAGTTTGCTAACGGGGTTAGAGACCAGCCAGCCAGTCTACCAGGTAGAAGTGAGAGACTGTCTCAAAAAACATGGTGGGTGGTGGCAAAGTGGACAGAGTTGTCCACTTATTTACACACACACACACGCACACGCACACGCACACGATGACACACTCAAACTCACATACACCAAGTCAGGGTGCTAGGTGACAATACCCATGTTTGACCGGAACTTGGAGATCTGAGTCCAGCACCCATTAGTGCCTGTCCAGAGTGCTGTGTATCCTGGGTGAGGAAATACTAGAACAGATTTCCAGCCTAAAGATTTCAACTGTTGGTCCACAATACAGTAAATAAATGTAGCCGGGCGGTGGTGGCACACGCCTTTAATCCCAGCACTCGGGAGGCAGAGGCAGGCGGATCTCTGTGAGTTCGAGACCAGTCTGGTCTACAAGAGCTAGTTCCAGGACAGGCTCCAAAACCACAGAGAAACCTTNCCCTTGATGTTTCAAATTAAGCTATTTTCATATTGATACAAAAAAGTTCCCATCTCTGTCCAGTTCCTCCCACATCCTATAACAAATCTAAAAACAAAACCCAGAAGAACACAGCGGACAACCAATGGCTACAATGAGGAACAAGCTCCCATCAAACTACTGCTGCTTCTATACCTTCAACAGTCAGCAGGATGTAAACATCATCTCCCTTGATGAACTCCCTGCTCTTCAGCCTCTCATAGGTTATGAAGGCACTGGTTCCATAGCCTCTGGTTCTGTAATACTGAGTTCCATTAGGGAAGAAAGCCGTATTTCCCAGCTTGGAAGGCCTATCCCAAAAATAGCTTTCATTACCTAAAAAAAAAAAATTATATGAATAGGCTGTGTTTAGCATCATCATAGCTCTCAGTGGTAGGAAGTCTCAGCAGCCTTCTGAGCTGCAATTGGTCCTTTAAACTGAATTAAGGCAGTGAGTGGCTAAGAGTTTCCTATACGAGCAAAGAACAATTTATCTCATAAACTGAACTTAATGGTATCTAGTGCCATCCGGAGGGACGTGTTGGAAAGAATGAAATATTCTGCATGTTTAAACCTTCCAGTTTCTGTTATTTTTTTTCTATCAGATTCAGTCACTATTTCCTATGTCATTTTGATCCATCCTTGCGATTTATAAAATTCCTTTGATGATATTCGCTTTCCCATAATCCTATGTTTCCCTGTAGTCAGTTTCATTTTGATCCATAGTTGCGATTTATAAAATTCCTTTCATGATATTCGGTTTCCCATAATCCTATGTTTCCCTCAAGTCAGTTTGCAGGGACAAAAGACTGGTGAAATTCCAAGTGTGATCATGGCTCCCTGGGTGATGACTCTTTTTGAGACTTGGAATGTAGCCACCATCGGTGACAACCCTCTACGGTGCGATAACAAGATGTCACCACCCACTTCCATCCTGTTGCCACCAGTGTCCCAGCAGCTCCATTCTGACTGAAAACCCTCTTCTCAAGAGCTGATTGTGTCCCACAGTGCCAACAGTGTGACCAAGGCAGCATGGGTGAATGAAACTCACTGTCATATTGACCTCTCCTAATTCTCCTAACAAATCTATGGGGCTATTGTTCCCGCCTTGGTTTAACAGCCAAGAACCCTGGGACTTCAGGAAGGGTTTTCTTTGGGATCACATGACTAATGAAAAAAATAAAACATTGACCCAAGCATGCCAGCCTCTAAAGCCAACACTCCTTAGCCAATACCTAGAATGCAGGGATGATAAAATCCCAGTGTTGTAGTCTTTGCTAACATTCCTAACAGCCTCGGCCTGGGGACTGTCTTCCACAATTGAATCCTTTCCCTGAAGCTGAAAATCTTCACTTCGAGGCTGAACTTCCATAACTAGCCAACGATGCAATCTCTCATTCCCAAATGACCATCCCCCCTTGAACAATGATCAAGTCCCTAGCCATGAGGAAAATAAGAAGCTACAAACCATCGTTCATCCTTGGATCTGTAGTTATACTCCGTTGGTTGGACATACGCTGCCGGATGTCAGGATTTTGATCCAAGAGTGTCATTGTGGCTTGTTGCCAGGGACACGGCCACTGTAATTGATCATCATTGGCACCAGAGATCAGGTAGAAATAAATCCCCACATTAGTCGAGGAATTCAGATCCAGGTAAGCCTGATAAGCATAGCCTTTAGGAGAATAATATGGAGGACTGTACACATCTGTATTCTGGCTGTCAAGAAGCTGTGTGAAATTCCGTATATGCCAGATATGGTGAGGACACCTGGTTTCTGAGAGATTGATGTCATCAATAGACAGACCACCCGATGATGATCCAGAGCCTCTGAGTCCTTCAAATACCACTCGGAATTTCTCAGTCACTTGCAATGTTACATAGTAAAGTTGCCAGCTCCCAATGGGTATATCTGCAAAAAGAGTCACTGTTTCAAGGGTGATGAAGGATTATGACTTCCTTCCTGACATGGTCAGTATTAGAATTCTATACTTCAAAGGGAAATAATAGTTGGTGAGCCAAAGATACTTATGGATTTGGTGAATGGCTTCTCAATTCTTTATCCCAGGGCATTGCTGCGGCTGGACTGTCCACTGGGTATTGAATGTTTACATACCTGCTCTCGGATAGCTCACCCTTTCTCAGAGATGGGTAAGCACCCAATCTCAGAGCTCCATTCTGCTTACCAGTTACCTGCTATTCTGTCTTAGTTAATAACCAAGCAATATTAACACCTATGATTTGCTGGTACTCTCATAAAGATTTCTTTATGTATGTATAACAAAACTGGAATACTTAAATTTCATTGGAATTTAAGCAGAGTTAAACAGGAATCTACAAGCCCAGGAACCCACGTCCCGTCCATTACAAGTGCTTACCCGACAGTGGCAACCCCTTTGCTGCCATGCACTTCCTTCCTGTCTTGCACATCTAGCTCACTGGATAGGGAGATTTTCAGCTCATTTAAGCTGGAAATGACAGGTGAGTCTCTCTTCCAGTCATAGGATACCTCTGGTAAGAGGGAAGCTGGGAAGGGAAAGTCAAACTACCATCTACCCCTACTCCAGTGAGAGCACTTCAGGAGCCCCCGTGACAACAGGACAGAAAGTCATGCAAACTGTCAGTTCATGCTGGAGGGAAGCTCAACTATATCAGCACTGAATGACAATTGAAACTGCCAGGAAATAAATTGTAAACATCAGATTACAGAAAGTGCTACTGCCTGTGGATAGATTACAGACTGAGCAAAACCTTCCATCTACATTTGAAGGTTTGGCTTCAGTATGGTCCTTCATCCCCATGAGGCCCAGAAGGACTAACAAGCAGTTTTGGGTGACTGTCTTTTATTCATAGGCCCAGGTTGTTCATCCTGGGAAGATCTGCATCCCAAACATAGACAATGACATATATATATACATGTATATATATATATATATTTCAATATTTGCATTAATATACCCATTAATACATAATTCATACTTAGAAAATTATGATATATCATTTTAATATCTATCTTACATTATTACATGTAGAATATATATGTAATGCATGCATATGTTCTCTGAGATTTAAAACCTCAGTGTACTCTGGTGGCCACAAACACAAGCAGCCCCTGTATTTCAGAGTCTTTCGTGAATGGGAGGGGGCTGTGACATATAGTGCACAGTTGGCTCACTTCATAGTGTGTTTGGTTTTGTCTATTAAATTAAGAGGTCAGTGTGTACAAGAAGAAAGAGTAGTCTGTTCGCTGTTGGCCGTTAACCACGAGTGTCAACTTGGTGGGATTGAGAACCACCATGGAGACCACTCCTGTGCATATCGGTGAGAGATTAGGTCGATTGAAATGGAAAGATCATGTGGGCAGTGCCATTGCACGGGTGAGGGTCCTTGACGGCACCAAGAGAAGAAAACGAGATGACCGCATTACCATTGCTCTCTGTACTCTTGGTGACAGATGCAGTGTGGCCTGCTGCCTCACACTCTTGCCATGAGGGACTGTGGTCCAGAATGAACCCCTCCGTGCCTTGATTTTGTCAGGTATTATGTCCTAATACTGAGGCTCACTAAAACAGTGGCCCACATCCCTTCCTTCCCCACCTGCTTTAATACGTGGTCAGTTGGCCCACCTCTCCAATACATGGTTATCTGAAATGTGGACAGCTCCTCCCCACAGAAATAGTGCCTACAGGGACATTGACTTCATCTCATAGCAGACACCTTCACTGGGATTCATGTTTTTAAGCTGGAAGTTAGGTAGAGTCCTCTCACCACATGTATAGCCCTTACTTAGGTAAGACTGGATCACAGTAAGAGAAAATGAGATGTCTCAACAGTGCTTATTTAGGGACAAGCCCAGGCCTCCCTGAGGCCAGTCCTGCCTTTATCCATTCCATAGTTTAGTTTCTTTTTGCCATCAACCCTCCCCCATGTCACCCAGAGTTCACGGTGTATTTTTATTACTGGATAATAAAACTGAAGGCCACAGCTATGTTTTCTAAGTAAGTATCACAAAGGACCCTCATTTTATTTTCCTTATCAAATAAGGCAGACAGGTTCTATTGAAAGTCGGTGTTTTTACCCCCTGCACTGCCGCAAGTAGCCACACTAATTGAAGAGGTCTCACCTGCATCCAAACTGGGAGACTGTGGATACTGTACCTTGTATTTCTCTCTGTAGGGTTAAAACCCCGTCTGGGTGGCCTGCAGTGTACTCCCGGGTGTAGATTTTCACTTGGTTGTTTTCACTTCCACTGTTGTACAGGTAAAATTCCAAGCACTGAAACCCTCTCTTGGGGTACAGCATTCTGCTCTCCAGCATTGCTGTGTCCCCCACATTTGCAGAGCTGGTGTCGAAATGCATGAAGAAGCCGGAATCTGTTGCGGGCACAGAAGCACAATGGAAAACAGCAGAGCTCAGGGCTTTCTTTAGTGTCTGCTGAGCTCCCACCACGCATGGATGCTATAGCCTGGGTTGCCCCAGAGTTCACGCATGGGAAATAACTTTCAGACTTCTATGTTGAGGGCATTTGGAAGTGGGATCTTTGGAAGTGACAGAATTATACGAAGTCATGAATGTGAGCAGTTGTGACTTTTTCAGAAGAGACGTGAGCCAGCAGAATGTTCTGTGTGACCATGTGGTGACCCTTGCCCTGGGATGCAGCAGAGTGTCCCTCTACAGCTGACAAGCAGACACCAGGTACCCTGCTCTTAAACTATCCCGTGTCCATAACCATAAGAAAGTGATATTTTAAAATGAAGCACCCAGTCTCGGGTACTAAGGTATAGCAAGAGGAAACAAACAGAACATGACATCGTGCTGGGCATTATGATGCAGTTCTATTAGCAGGGAGTTTGCAAATGAGACATAGTTAGACACCCTTTCTCTTGCTACAGCTTACAAAAACAGGAAGAATTTAGAAACACCTAGACTGGAGCTTCTTGTCGTCATTGTAGGTATTTTGGTACCCAGGACACACAATTACATCCAGCTAGGATTCTCTGTGGAGTGACTCACAGCCCAGCGGTGCTCATTCCTCTCCTACATTCTGTGACGTGTGAGAGGAGACCACATAGCCCCTGGAATAAAAGTGCATGCAGGAGGTGCATTGCGGTCTGCTCCGCATAGGTACTGTGTGAGACCTCATAGAAGCAAGCTGTGAGATGTAGAACGGAAGCCATTCTGAGTGAGTAAGGCAGAGAAACGGCATCTCATTACCGTGCACAAGTCTCACTCCTTCGGAGAAACTGAACAGGCTACCAATAATAATTCTGATAGAGGAGATGGAGAAACTGCTCAGTGGTTAAATGCATCTAATGTTCTTGCAATGGACCAGAGTTCCATTCCCAGTACCCATGTTAGGCAGCTCACAACTGCTTGTAACTCCAGAGATTCTAACACCTCTGGTATCTAAGCACACATACTTTATAGGGCACCTGCAATCACATGTGTGTACTCCCGACCTCACAGATACAGTCATTGTGCATGCCCGTGACCACATATGCATATTTGGAATAATAAAGATAGATTATCTTAAAGTCAGTAATAATTCTGATAGACATGAGAGATGAATCACGCATCTTTCAGACTGAAGAAGAAGGCTGGAGGCACTGATCCTGAAATCTGTTACCTATGCACTGGCCCATATTGGAGTGATCGTTCTCTGGGCCCGCGGGGACCTGTGAAACCCTTTGCCAGTCAGCATTGTCCCCTGAACTTTGGATCATGCCACAGATATTTTCCAACTCAAAATCACAAGAGTCCATAAAACTCAGCGAAGAAGCTACAAAAGCAAACAAGCAAACCGATGTGAGCATTTGTTCAACACAGTGATATTAGCAGTCAAACCTGAGCTGGTCACAGAACTATGAGGAACGTCAATGAAAAGGGAGCATCTGGTTGACTCTGCGACCTTCTGACTGAAAGACACTTCTCCACTTCTCTGCCTGCAGAAGCCCAAAATGAACTTAGTTTGTGTGCATGAATTCCCAGTCCACACCAACCCTTTCTTCTCGTCTATTTGTGGAAAACCGAGTCAATATTCCTCCTGCTAGTCAAACCTTAATGCCACAGCAAAGGTTATTTTGTCTCACGTACGGGACAACTGCACATTTCATTATGGCCTAAAAGAGGCTTGAATATAGAAACGGTCTGCACTGGAATTAGCAAACCTTTCGACAGTCAGCATGGGGCTGATTGTGCAAGGACGCCGGCTGCTTTAGTAAATCTCAAGGCAAGCTTAGTAAGAAGACAAGTGCTGAAAATGGCTAGTAGATGGGGACCTGGGTGATATTCTGATATTTTTTTTAACCAAACTTTTATGATCTCAGAGACCCCAAAGGTGTCCAGAACATCGCTTATCCAGCAAGGAGAGGTCATTTCAAGGTGCCCATCACTTACAGCAGTTGTACAGATGGTTCAGCTTCAGCAGGTCATAGTCACTGAAGTCCATTCGTTGGCCAATCACATTTTCAAAGTCTGAGATCCTTGTTACAATGGTGGGCTCTGTTCCGTTCTGGAAAGCTGTCTTACTGTAGTGCATGACCGAGGTGTAGTCATAGGGTACATTCAGGGAATCGGACACACTGTCATTATATATGTTGAAATTGTGTTCTCTGCCTGGATATGTTTTAAAAAACTTTATTTTATGGTCAATGAAATAATGCTGCTCTTACTTAACACTGTTGACAGAGAAATACAAAACATAATAGAGCAAACTTTGTGCACATTATCTCCTGAGTGTCACGTGTTCCAGACACCCCGTCTTTGGACTCGGTATAATGCACAACTGTGATAGCAACAGTCAAATTAACAACTTGACACTTCCAGTCCAGCCCCAAGTCTAAGGTTCAAACGACTGGGGATGGAAAGAAAGGTTCTGCGAAACTGTGGAGACATTCAGAGTCACCGGCTAGCAATGCTGATGGTTTAATGTGCTCACAGCAGACCAGGTATAAGCAGGGCTTTAGGAAGTATGCTAAAATGGGACCCTGTGTTGATAACATGGCCAAGAGTTGTTAGAAAAGATGGACATCATTGAGGACTCAAAGGTTACTGATTCTTGTACATGCATATAGTGCATTATACATTATAAAACTGTAAATAAGTTAGTGTCTTAGCAACAAAGTATCTTATCCCCTAAAAATGATTGAAGAGGTGACAAGCATGCTGCCTGAGTTTATTTTAAATGAAGCAACGAATGTGCTATTTTATTAATAGTCACATAGCAAAATGTCATCTTGTTCCCATAAATGTATACAATTATAATGGTAAATTTAAAATGTTATTTTATGAGCCATCATGAGATCCAAAGACAATCATTTTAAAAGATTTCCCTGAGTGTATTTAGAGAAGACACCAGGCTGCTTAGCATCCTTCTATTGGACAACTGATTGCAATTTGATATCACATGAATTTATAGACACAGTCAAGTACATCTGCTATCAAAGCATAGACACCCATTGCCAAACTGGTCCTGATGCAAACATCCTCAGAAAGTTGACCTATGACAAAGTATATAAGAGAAACATACCTGATAGAATCCTGTCCCAAACTATAGTGACATAGTCATCTCGGTCAGAACGAGACTGCTCATGCCAGAATCCCAGGGCATGGAGGAACTCGTGTTGAACCGTTGCTATTCTGTCACAGTTTTCCCCGATGGACAGCTCCTGCTTCCCAACATGCCTGTTTCCCACCGAAGACCAGCACCTGACGGAGAGTGTGCAGATCAGGGACAGGCTGTTTGTACGCGGAAAGTGAGGTCACAAGACAGAGGCCTCACCGCCTAGCCCACTTGTCTAACTGCGTATGTCCTCTTGCTGAGTGTGGCCATGGAACTGCTCTCAGCATAAACAAAGTGAGAAGTCGGCCGTGCTCATCCTGGGAATCGCAAGCCTTTCTAAATGGGCATTGCTATGCCCTTCACCACGAGTTGTTTTGTTTCCTAATTTCATTGTTTATCTCTGTGAGTGTCTGTCTAGGTCTAAGTATGTGGTGGGATACCCCAGAAGTCATAAGAAGGAGCTGAGCCCCTGGAACTGGAATCACAGATGTTTGTGAGCCAGCTAACACGGATGCTGGGAATAGAGTGTATTTCCCTGCAAGAGTATCTAGGGTCTTAACTACTGAGTTATCTCATCAATAAACAGATAGGAGTTTTATAGGGACAACAATCACTCAGAATCACTGTGTCCAGATCAATGACACTGCCACCTTTCAGGTAGTAAGACTTACTCAGCTAAAATGAACTCACACACTATGTACAGTACATTTTACTAGCAGGGAGAATAAAGAATATTCCGTTGTCAATGAGATGAAGTGCAGAGGGCTATAGGATAAATGGCATCCATTTACATTCACTATTTGTTGACTTTGGTAGTCTGGTTGTGTGTATGAAACCATTTTCAGTTTTCCTATGTATTTTACTGTATGTGCATCTGTGTACACATGTTTATGCAGGTGTTTATGCGTGTGGAGGCCAGAGCGTGTCTTCCTCAGTTACATTTTGAGACAGGGTCTCTCACAGAACCTAAAGGTCAGCAATTTGGTCTTGCTGACCAGTGATGTACAGGGATCTGACCCTATCGCCCTAAATGAAAAGCTTCTTCACCCAGTGTTTTTCTCTAAAGGTGCCTGGGGTGGTCTTTGTGTTCATGTATCAAGGACTTCAGCTATTGGACCATCTCTCCAGTACAAGATTGGCTGCCCCTTCCTTCCTTCCTTCCTTCCTTCCTTCCTTCCTTCCTTCCTTCCTTCCTTCCTTCCTTCCTTCCTTCACCTTGTTCCTTTCCATGCTTTGCTTTTCTTAGTACTGTGGCCCTAACCCAAGGACACACACTTATTAGGCAGTCCCTCTAATGCTGTGAAAACATTATTTTATAGCCTGGGAAACCAGGTCTAAAAGTCACGCTCTGCCCAGATAGCAAAGGAAGTTATGTTCCAGACCTTGAACCATGGTTGTGGCATAATGCCCTGGGGAATAAGTCTCCTCAGAGCCTTATCAGACAACCCTGGAACTTACCCACTGCCCTTGAACACTGATATGTAGTTAGCTTCTCCAGACCAGGGCTTGAAGTCGATGCAAGTTTTAAGGCGGTAGCGCTCGAAGGCATTGAGGATAACTCCTTTAGCGTTCATATCTGATGGAAGACAAAAGTGTGCACTGAGTTCTCTGTTTCAAACCTAGCATATCCTTAAAGTAAGGCAGGCTGCCATGGACACTGCATGACTGCCTTAGAGCAGGCTGGAAACGGGGCCCGATAGTAAAGCTTTGAGAGGAGAATTTCATCCGTCTTTGAACCACGCAGAACATGTGTGAAAGCATCACAAACTGCAGAGACCTCGAGCAGGGTAAGATGTCCATTTACCGTGTGTCTTTACTACCACAGGCCTTGGCTAAGTTTGGGTCATTTGTAGAATTTTTGACCTGGCTCATGTCAGCAATCCTTGCCATCCCAAGGATGAAGGAAGTTCCTGAAAATCCCAGGATCTCAACAAACAGAGGAACAGTTCATGAGACCTACGTGTGACGAGGTCCTCTGAGTTCACGTGCACACTGTGGTACATGCACATTCACACCATCAATGAATAATGCCAATTAAAAATATAACACAGAAAATGCAATAGATTAAATGAAAGAAACAGAAAAATCTACAACACCATAATTAAAATTATATGAAAATCTGTTTATTTGAATTGGAGGATCTATGCTGACTTCTTAACCTATCATGTTTTCTAAACAGTTGTTCCCTAGGCTGAGCTGCATCCTTGGTCATCCCCACACTCAGTACCCTCTTCTTGGTCCCTCACTTAGAGCCAGGTGTCTGTGGAGAGCCCCAATGTGTGTGATGTGCAAGGACTGCGTACCAGACACGCTCTCTACCAAGTGAGCTTCAGCCCTGGCCCAAGAAACCCTTGATTCTTAAGGTGACATTATTTTTCATCTTTCCCCCAGAGGGTATTCTTCAAGCTGATGCTCATCAGAGGCACTGTTCACCAGTCCACGGAGAAACTGACCTCTTTACAGCGGAACCAGGCTGGTTTGTGTTCTCTGTGTCTCTCTGTCAACTCTCTGCCTATGTCTGCCTCTGTGTTTCTGTCTCTGTCTATTAGTGTGTGTGTGTGTGTGTGTGTGTGTGTGTGTGTGTGTTTCTCTCTGTGTCTGTTTGTAGCATGATTAATAAAAACCCAGAGACAGATATTAGGGTTCAACCTGAAGATCAGAAAAGGAAAACAGCCTGGCTCTTACCTCGACCTCAGTCTGAAATGGCAATCATGTTCCCAGGAATTTCAGAATTAGACTGTGTGTAAGAGCTGTCTCCTCCCATCTTATATTCCCCTCTAGGACTGGAATTAAAGGTGTGCATCACTTAACACCCAGTTTCTATGGTAAACTAGTGTGGCTCCTGGGATTAAAAGTGTATGTCAGAACTGCCTGGTTTCTACGGCTGACCAGTAGAACTGTTTTACTCTCTGATCTTCAGGCAAGCTTTATTTATTAAAATATAAATAAAGTATCACCACATTTCCCTTTTTTGTCTAAAATAAAAAAGAAGGCTATTACTAATATTAGAAAAACTATATACAATAAATACAATGACTACAATACAAACAGGCAATAAATACATCAACAATGTCTAGTCCATTTGCATTTGACAAATTCAGAGGAAAATACTCCATATCTATCCTATCTTGGTGAGTCCAAAGTCTTATACCTCACTTACTTTTTATCATAATATGCATTCTGCATCAGGTGAACAAGGAAAACTATAACTATCTAGTCTTCAACTACCTCAGAGACCCAACAAGTAAATAATATTAACTGAGTAAGCAAGAAATGTGAGCAAGCAACTTCAAAAAATATATGAGAAATGACAGAAACAGCTGCTTGCCTGGACCATCACCCAAAGTTTCTCTGCAACGTTGGGGCATCTATCTTCATCCTATAGGACTAGCATATTTGATAGACTTTCTGTGAAGCAGGATATTCTGAAGGGCTGTCCCTTCTTGTCTTGACAATGTTTGGCAGTCATTTTCTTTCGTGTCCTGCTTATCCAATTAGAACAGCATACTGTCAGCAGTAAAGGCAAAAATAGCTAACTGCTTTGCTTTTCTGACCTTCAGGTTGAACCTCAATATCTATCTCTGGTTTTTTATTAATTGTGCTATATCTGCCTGTCATCTCTCTGTTTGCCCCTCTCTGCCTGTCTTTGTGTCTCTGTCTCTTTCTTTATCTCTGTCCGTCCATGTCTTCTCTGTCTCTGTCTGGCTGTCTCTCTCTGTGTCCATCGCTTTCTCTCTCTGTTTCTCTCTGTCCCTGTCTGTCTCTGTCTCTGTCCATCTCTCTCTTACTCTGGTCATGTCTTGGGCTCAGGATCATCTGCCTTTTCTCCAGAGGAGGGCTGGAATGACAGGTGTGCCTCACCACTAGCTCATAACTAGATTTCTTCTGTATAAAAAGCTTTTTTTAGTTTTGTCTTAGATTCTTTTGACTATCCCCACCCTTTTTCTTTGTGTATGTGCATACCTGTATGTATGCACATATGTGGGATATGTGTCATGTGTGTGTGCATGTGAGTATACTTGTATGGGTGCACAAGCACATGCGTGTACAGCATGTGGGTAGAGTCTGGCAATGATCTCAGAACTCATCCTCCATGGCTTCTCTACCTTGATCATTAAGGGAAGGACTCTCAGTCAAACTTAGAGTTTTCTGATATGACTAGTCTCCATAGCCACCTTACACTGGGATCCCTATCTCCAAGGAAGATGGAATTACAGTCAGTTCCCACACACAGCCAGCATTCATGTGATTTCTGAAGTTATGAATTCCCATCCTCATGCTTGCCATCTCCTCAACACTCTTCTGACTTTTTTTTAAAATTTCTTTTATCTTTTAATAAAGAAAACAAACTATCTTTTCTCATTATACATACCAATCCAAGTTCCCACTCCTTCCCCTTCTCCCATTTCCTCCACTTGCATCCAGTCCACCCCCCATCCACTCCTCAGAGAGGGTAAGGCACATTGCTTTGGGGAAGGTTCAAGGCCCTTCCTACTATATCTAGACTGAGCAAGGTATACGTCTAAAGAGAATGGGTTCCCAAAAAGCCAGTACAAACAGCAATACCACTCTTGGACATATTCCCAAAAGATGCTCAATCATACTACAAGGACATTTGTTCAACTATGTTCATAGCAGCATTATTTGTAATAGCCAGAACCTGGAAACAACCTAGATGCCTCTCAACTGAAGAATGGATAAAAAAAATGTGGCACATTTACACATTAGAGTACTACTCAGTGGTTAAAAAAAGAATGACGACTTGAACTTTGCATGCAAATTGATGGAACTAGAAAACACCATCCTGAATGAGGTAACCCAGGCACAAAAAGATGAATATGGTACGTACTCACTCATAAGTGAATACTAGCTATAAACAAAGGATATTGAGCCCATAGTTCATGATCCTAGCAAACCTCTTCTGACCTTTTAATAATTTAATACTAAACTAGGAATTACTTATTTCCTTAAAAGATAAAAGAGTGGACTCATTAACATCTGGACTTGGCAAAATAAAATCTTGGCAAAGCAATGTCGTTTTCTGTAAATTTGTTTCGATTGGTTATTTTGTGAGTTTTATTTGCATTTACACTTTGTGCTGGGGCTAGGGCTGCAGGGGGAGGCTCAGTAGTTAAGCTATTCTAGGGCTCTTCTGGAAGACTGAAATTCAGTTCCAAGAACTGACATGCAATGGCTCCAAACAACTCCAAGGGATTCAATGTCTCCTCTGACCTCTGCCAGCACTGCACACATGTGGTAGTCACTCACCAGACATGCACACATACACATAACTAGAAGAAGTAAAAATGAATCTTTTTAAAAAAAAATCCTTGATGGTCAGGAAGTGACCAGTGGTATTCCATCTGGTAGCATACCCAAGGCCTGGATTCTACCATCAGGTCTGCAAGGAATAAATACCTAAACATAAGGAAATGTTGCTTTAAAAGAAAGATTATTAGGACTGGAGAGATAGCTTATGGTCAAGAGCATGTGCTGCTCTTCCAGAGGACCCAACATAAGTTCCCAGTGCATGTTGGGGTTCACAGCTGACTGTAACTCCAGTTCCAGGGGATCCAGCACTCTTCTCTGTCTTCCACAGAACTACACTCACACCACAGATGCACAGGGAGAAGAGAGAAAGGAGGAAGGGCAAGGAATGGAAAAAGAGAGGGAGAGAGAGAAAGAGAGAACATATGAATTAAAATTAACAGTAAAATCTAGAAAAAAACTTATTAAAACCAAGAATGCCTCCCTAATCTCTATATCCTTAGCATCCAACACAAAGTAAGTTAGCTCTCCATTAAGATTGGTTAAATTGATATTTGTTAAAACCCAACACATATTCCACATAGTCAGGCTGAATTTTTAAGATATTTTAATTCTACATTTTGCTTATTTTTTAAAAGTGATTTACACAATCACACAAGACCATTCTGATAGATGTGAATCTAGCATCTCAGGAACACACAGTAGCTGTGGATACTCCAAAGTGCGTACTAACCCAAGCTATCATCTAGAACATACGGAATGGTATGTGGCCATCTATAGATGTCTCCAATGATGGAATTCTTCCCTTGTGGCTGTCAAAAATAAATGCGAAAAGGATCAGTTAGGTAAACTAGACAAAGCCAATCAATAATCAATCTGGAAATAAGTGGAGTTAACAGTTCTTCCTGGTAGCTCAAACCAGTGGGGCATGAGTCTGAATTTTGGCCATACTTTAATAAAGTTTATGGAAATAACTACTAATTTATATATTTAACATGAAGCTAAAGAAGAAATGATACTCAAAAAAGATTGCTGGAAACTCCACTATAAGTACTGTTAGATGTTTAAATATTAAAAACACATAAGAACAGGCTATTGATATCTCCATAGTTAAGGCTGCCTACTACCCTTTAAGAGGATCTAAGTTCAGTTCCCAGCACCCACATCAACAGCTCGTAGTTGCCTGTAACTCTAAAGGATCCAGTGCCCGCTTCTGGCAGCCATGAGCAACTGCATGCATGTGGTACATGTAACCTCATGCAGGCTCAAACACACAGGCACACACAGCATAAATATGGTACACATAATTTCATACCAGCTCACACACACACACAGCATGCATATGATATATATAAACAAAAGCAGGCTCACACAGATGTACACACACACAGCGTACATATGATATACATAAATAAATGCAGGCTCACACATGTACAAATAAATAAGTAAACATACAGAAGGAAAGTGATAACTAAACCAAACTTTAAAAATATGCACCTCAGGGAAAAAAAAACAGACATAAGATGGATGAAAATTTTCAAATTTTTCTGAAGGAGGGCCTGGAGAGACAGCTAGCTCANGGGGGAGCAGACATAAGATGAATGAATTTAAGCTTTAAAAATTTAAAAATTTTTCTGAAGGAGGGCCGGGAGAGGTGGCTCAGCTGTTAGGGCACTTGCTGTTCTTGCAGAAGGCCCAATTTATTCCCAGCATTCATGTGGTAACTCAAAACCACCCATAAGCCCAGTTCCAGGTGATCCAATGACCTCTTATGGCTCCAATGTCCCCAGGAATACACATATTGCACAAAACACATGCCATTAAAATACCCATACATGTAAGATAAAAATAGATAAAAATCTTTGTAAAGCAATTCAAATTTTATAATAGAAAACGAATGATATTTTCTTATTGCATATACTCTGGCAATAAATGTCATTCCAGATAACAGAAATGTCTGGGTAGTAAATGCAGCAAGGGCCTTAAACTTGAAAAGCAGGTGCTTTGTCTACTGAGTCATCTCTGCCACAGCCACCCATTTAGAAAATAACTTTACTATGGGAAATGGACTTCCAGGAGGAAAAGATAATGGAGAGGGAAATGCAATATTTGAAACAGGACAAGATTGAAGGCTATGAGAAACGTCAAGGACCTCCTTATGTTGTCTTATTGCTATTGCTAGAACTTCAAGCACTATGTTGAAGAGATAAGGAGAGAGTGGACAGCCTTGTCTTGTTCCTGATTTTAGTGAAATCACTTTGAGTTTCTCTCCATTTAATTTGAAGTTAGATGTCAGCTTGCTGTATATTGCTTTTATTATATTTAGGTATGATCCTTGTATCCCTAATCTCTCCAAGACCTTTATCATGAAAGAGTGTTGAATTTTGTCAAATGCTTTTTCAGCATCTAATGAAATGATCATATGGTTTTTTTTTCTTTCAGTTTATATGATGGATTACATTGATAAATTTTCGTATGTTGAACCAGCCCTGCATCTCTGGGATGAAGCCTACTTGATCATGATGGATGATTTTTTTTAATGTGTTCTTAGATTCGGTTTGCCAGTATTTTATTGAGAATTTTTGCATCAATGTCCTTGAGTGAGATTGGTCTGTAATTCTCTTTCTTGATTGAGTCTTTGTGTGGTTTTGGTATTAGGGTAACTGTAGCCTCATAAAAAGAGTTTGGCAATGACCCTTTTGTTTCTATTATGTGGAACACTTTGAGGAGTATAGGTATTACCTCTTCTTGAAAGTTCTGGTAGAATTCTGCACTAAAACCATCTGGCCCTGGATGGTTTTTGATGACAGCTTCTATTTCCCTATGGCTTATTTAAATTGCTCACCTGGTCTTGATTTAATTTTGGTATATGGTATCTATCTAAAAATTGTCCTTTTCTTTTACATTTTCCAATTTTGTGGAGTACAGGTTTTTGTAGTAAGACCTAATGATTCTCTGGATTTCCTCAGTGTCTGTTGTTATGTCCCCCTTTTCATTTCTGATTTTGTTAATTTGGATGTTCTCTCTTTGCCTTTTGAGTAGTTTGGATAAGGGTTTGCCAATCTTGTTGATTTTCTCAAAGAACCTATTAATTTGTCTATTTTTAAAGTTTTATTATTTTAACAATATAATTTATATGTATAATATATTTTAAGAAATAATAAAATAAATATATATGTTATTTTATGATAGACTAGAGATATTTATGGAATCAAGTTTTATTTTACTTCAACTAGACTAAACCAGTGAAGTTCTGTTTTTAAGTAAAAATTCTCCTTATTTCTGTAATCAGTAAAATCAGAGCACAACACACATGTTGAGATGACAGTGACCTTTGGCACAGAAACCTGAGCAATGGAAGATGAAGATACAGACATATGACTCCTTCCGGGACAGCATCTCAGGAAGATAGCGCCACCAGTGGCTGCACCTTCAGAAACAAAGTCCCAGCAAGCAGCTTGTGCCCATCCATCCGCAGATACTCACAGCTGGCTTCCATGCTTCACCATGCAAGCATCATTACAACTCACCTCAAGTCTGATGTCCCCCTCAAAAAGGTCCAGTCCCAAACCTAAGAGAAGAATTCAGATAATTCATGTTATTACGTTGGGTTCCTGTACCACATAATAGATGATGCTTTAAAAATTCCATGGGAAGAGGATGCTTATCTATAGGCAGGTTAATGGTCACATAGTATGGGAGAGACATTTTCGTCAGTGGTTTAGCCCCTGTTAAGTTGCCCATGCTCTCATAAATGACCCCACACTCAGGCTTCTGTAAGCAATCCTAAGGACACTCATCACTTCACAAGAGGAAGAACAAACTTGAGAGCAGAACTGGGACTGAGAAATGAGTAGAGATTGATGGGAGTCTGGGGAACTGGAGGGAAGTAGAGAGGGTAACAGGTTGAAGATGAACAAATACTTTATATACATGTATGAAGATGACACAAGGAAAGCTGTCATCATATGTACGTAAACCATGATAATAAAACAAAGCAGGGACATAAAAGACAGCGCAGGCAGTAAAAGGCACCTGCCACCACGCCTTGACGACCTGAGTTCGAGCCCTGGCAACCCATATGGTGGGAAAAGAGGACTGAATCCTACATGTTGTCCTCTGACCTCCACACATGTAGTGTGTCACACACACACACACAAATAATAAAAATATTTTAAATATGGTAGCAAAAAAGAATGAAGAAAAATCCACAAACCTTCATTGATATCGAATATGTCTCGATCAATTCCCTCATCTATATCTTTGACTGAAATAAGAAAAAACCACATTGAAAGTTATGTTCATGAGAGGAAAGAGGTTCTCATTAAACAAACAATCAGAAGAAAACAAATTGTTGCCTCAGATTCTAATTTAACTTGCATTGATTAACTGAGGGGGACTCTCATTCCTTGAGACCCTCCTGGGAGCCAGACTGGGGACTAGACGGAGGACTTTGGATGCATACTCTGTCCTCTCCACATCCCTTGGGTGTCAGGTGATTGTAGGAATAGCATTGGTCACTCCGTACGTGAGTAACCATAGAGTGGAAGGTGGGAATGAGTGACTAACTAGGAAATGAGTGTCTAAAATCGCTCAACCCGAAAGCCATTTTATTGGCCGTTCTTGTACTTCTGTTTTTCAGCTGGGCAGATGAGTCCTGGTGAATGGGGCCAGCCAGAGTTGAGCAAAGTTCAGGTCACTGATGCAGTCACGCTGTCTTCTGCTGCATTCCACTTGCCGTCTTCCCCTTGGGTTGACACACCCTGTGCTTCTGTCCCTGTCATTCACCCCATAACTGTCTTACCCTGCATGCTAGAGCAAATCTCCAGCAGACTCACCAAGGTTCTCTGGAGCCGGCTGTGAAAAAACACACCAAAAGATATTATTGTGATACCCATAATATAAATGACATTTTGTTACAAGTTTAGATTCCTTTATAATCATCCTTAAGATTTCATTTATTCATTCATTCATTTATATGGTGTCTGTCTATGATGGGCAGAGGAGAACTTGTGGTAGTCAGTTCTGTGTCTGGTATGAGTTCATGGAACTGAAAAGAGCAGAACTTGAGATAATAAGTTCTGATGAGGAAGCCTTATCAACCAATTATCTTTAAAAGGTGGGACCAAGTAAGGGTGTGGCTTTCTGGGACCTGGGGAAAAACAGGCACACCGCCCAGGTGCTCTCTCTGTGTGGTTCCCTCGCTGCACAGCTGAGCTTGGATTTCTTGTTCCTGTTTTGTAAGTTGGCCCCTTATAAAAAAAAATTAAAATATAATTGTTTTATCTTTTAGCTAGCCTGGTTATGTCACAAATCGAGGTAACATCAACAAAGTTCTCTGTATTCAGTGTGAGTTTCTAGGATTGGACAGAGCAGAACTGGAGATGACCAGTTCTCTGTGTCCAGTGTGAGTTCCTAGTACTAAACTCACACCATCAAGCCTGCGGCCAGGGCTGTGTCACCTGCTGGGCCATCTCACTGGTCCCAATGTTGTATTTGTTTTTGAACAGAGTCTCTCTTTTAGTTCAAACTGGAACTCATATTTCAGTCTAAGTCTAACCCTGAACTTGATACAATCCTTCTGCGTCAGCCGCCCAAGTACTGGGGTGACAAGCATGAGCCACAGTGGCTCTAACTCACAACCACACAGTTCTTTTTACTAATATGACGTATTGTTTGCTTCCATATATGCCAGACAAGCAAGCTGGAGTTTACATGACGTTCTGTCCAGACAGATATTCTTACTTCTTATAGAAACTGAACCTTCCTGTTCAATGAGTTTAAAGGTACAGAAAAAAAAATCAACTTCAAAGCTGGAAAAGAACACAGTGCACAAGACTCCAGCCCTGGTATACACACTCACTTTACACATGATGTCATGTAACACTCATGAACAGTGCTTTCAAAAACTAAAACTTTATTTCCAAACAATAACAAAAACTTTTCCTCATACCTCAGGAAAATCATGTTTCCTTTCATGTCTCTCCCAGGACTCTACATTCAAAAAAATAATACCAAATATCTAAGCAAAGGACCAATAGGTAGATTTTGTAACTTTTTAAAAAATATATACGCTTCTCTTTTTTCGTTTTGTTTGCTTGTTTTTGAAACAAAAAAAAAATATTGATTACAAAATTTCTCAGAGGGCCTTCAGTAAAGAGCTTGCCACTGCAGGCAAGAGGACTTCAGTTTAACTCCCAGAACTTATAAGAAGTCTCCCTGTGTAGCCCTGGCTCTCCTGTACACCAGGCCGGCCTTGAACTCAGAGATCTGACTGACTCTGCCTCCCAAGTGCAAGAATTAAAGGCTTGTGCCACCAGCACCCAGCTAAAATGCATATATTTTCAAATGGATAGGAAACAAATTACAGAGTTACATACACAATGTGTAAATAAAAATTGAAACCAACATCAGAAATTTATTTTGAGGGTGGGTTATGCACAGGGGCATGTTAAGGGGGGTGCTTATAGTGGCCAGAAATCATCCACAAGTGTTATTCCTCAGGAGCCAACTGTTGCCTTACTTCTGACACAGAGTCTCTCACTGGGCCCATGGCTCATCAATTAGGCTAGGATGTCTCATCAACCGGCCCCCAGAAGTCCCACATTTTGGTCCCCCCAGCATTGGCATGAGAAGCACCTGCCATCACAGCTGGCCTTTTATATGTGTTCTGGGAGTCAAACTGAAGTCCTCTTGCCTGCAGTGGCAAGCAGTTTACTGAAGGCTGTCTCTCGCAGGCCCTCTGAGAAATTTCATAATCGATTATTCCGTTATCTTAACCTAGGAAGAAGGCAGCAGAACTGGTAGACAGTCTGTGTGAGTTATGCCTGGTTTACCCTCCTGGGTCTCAAATGATATGTGTGAGGTGGTCACCACGTGATTTGGATGAGTATCGTAAGCTATATTATGCCATACAAAAACACGGTGTAAAAATGTAATGTGTGCCACGTAAGTGTAAAGTCCAATTGCATCCAAATTCAAACTAACAGCTGAAGTAAAGAATCCTCCGAAATGCTCGACAGGATACGGGGATGAACTGCTCAGATGACTTCTGTCATGTCGACAGCAAACACCCTAGTTTTCTCATACAGGATCACACACACACACACACACACACACACACACACACACAGAGTCACAGATTATCCCGGCACACGTGCAGAAAGAGATTTCCAAGAAGCTACTGAGCCTCAGATAAACATGATGAAACAGCACCTCACACCTTAATTCTCCGTTCATATCTGTACACCATCAGCTCATATGATGTATTTTAAGTCCAATTAAAGGGTTTCCTTGGCCATTAGAAATTCTGTCTAAGACCTTGCACTAGCTTGGGGTACAATCTGCCCATCAGTGAGGGAAGATTAGTTTAGACCCACAAAGATGCAGAAGGGAAACTCCATATTAAACTTTGAAGTGTGGACATTGCCTCTGACATTTCTCAGTCTTCCCCCATGTCCTTACTCTAATGGCAATAAGTCTGTCACTCAGCAATAGCAATGGCTTTCAAAACTCACATTCTCTGTCTTAGCAAAAGACACCTATCACACAACAGAGAAACTGAAAGGAAAATACAATTTTCTCTCACAATCTCCGGACCTCTCTGCCAGAGTGACTTCTTATATCTAATAGCTTTCTGGCCTCTGTCTACCAGCAAGAAATGCTCATTTAAGATGAAAATTTTTAAATACATAAAACAAAACGTGAGCAAATGATTATCACTCGCTGACTGATATCAACAGGCCCCCCAACTTTTCTGATTGTTTTCTTACCAAGCCAGAAACCAGGAGAAATGTGGCACAAACCAGGAACCAAGGCCGATGCCACGTATCCATATTGTGGCTTCCAACTCAATGTTGTAAATTATGACAGTCACCAGCAGAGCTGACTTTTAAAAGGTAAACATAATGACTCCTGGCCTTTGGTCTTTATGTTAATGGCTCATCTCTCAATTAATCTTGCTGCTGTAGTAACTTCCAACTCAGCAAGTAAAGTCCAGAGTCATGAACGCATCTCGTTTTTTCCTCTCTTTACTGTGCCAACAATGAATTGCTAAAATCTGTCACTAGAATATATTCTCTAATGTATACAGACTGTTCCCCAACAATGCTGAATACCACTTGAGCAAACAGAAATATATGCACGCACACACACACACACACACACACACACAAGGTCGGAGGTGTGGGTCAGTTGGTAGAGCGCTTGTCTGGCATGCATGTGGCCCAGGGTTCACCCTAACCCCACATATACCAGGCATGGTGGTGTATGCTTGTAATCTGAGCACTCAGTAGGTAAAGGCAGGAGGGTTTGAAGTTCAAGATCATCTTGGCTACATAGTGAGTTTGAGGCCAGCCTGGAATATAGCTAAATACATATACCAAGTTTATACTCTTGTTCAAATAATTAACATTTATGAAGTGTCTTCCATCCAGATAGCCTATGTTGCTTTGATGTAGCCAGTTCTGTCCACTGACTCTTATCTGTCATTGAGCTAGTAAACCTTTGTTGACAATCTATAACTTTATAAAGTCTAGGATCTATTGACATATCTAGAAATGAACATGTTTGGTATTCAGATATGAAATAGCAAAATAATGAAGTGTCTCCCTCCTGAAGGTTCTCAAAGACAAACTCAGATGGGATGGGCTGAGAGGATAGCTATGCTCACTGGTCTTCTAATAAAATGTTCCTAAGCTCCCTCAAGTCTTTGTCATAGTTTCTTTTCTCCCTGGAATAACTTCTACTCTCTGGAGACAACATAACTCCATCCCCACGGTTTCATCTGCCTGATGCAGAGTAACAGTTTTGAAATATAATATTCTATATCTTTTTCTTCATTGCCTTTTCCTAGTTTGGTCTTTTTGTCCCATTCTGTGTTCATTGAAAGTCTACAAAAAGATATGTGGCCTAGACAAAGTGCCCAGGGTGCTGCTTCTCTTGTGAGTGTGATGCACATGTTTGTGTGAGTGTGTGATTAGGTGCACGCAGAAGTGCTGTGTATTCCCATGCCAGCTCTCATACAGCACAGAAGTAGGGAGGCCAGAGGCTGATTCAAGTGTTGATGCCCCTCACCTTACTTTTTTGAGACAGGGTCTCTCACTGAACCTAGAGTTCATCGGTTGGACTAGCCTGACTAGACAGTGAGCTCTCAGAATCTGCCCACATCTGTCCCCTCAGCACTGTGCTTACAGATGTGCACCATCATGCCTGACTTTTACATAGATGCTGTGCATCCGAGTTCAGGTCCCTGTGTTTGCACAGTAAAATGACTGAGCCATTTCCCCAGCCCAGGAGGATATTTTTGAACCTGAGCAAGCCATCGCTACCCTCTGAAAGTAAGACAAAGTTTAAATGAAAAACTTTAAACAACAAGTGTGGGCTTGGAGCAATTTGCATTCCTATAATTCCAGCCCTCAGGATGCTGAGGCAGGAGGATGATGAGCTCAATGTCAGCCTGACCTGCATATATAGTGATAAAAATTCATAAGCTGGAGTTTCTCAGTACTAGACCACCATACATGAAGTCCAAGACTCGATTCCAGGACCATAAAACTCTTAAGGTCCACGAGAAGTTTCACAAAAGACCGCCAGCCATGTACACAATGAACAAGAGCATGGAATTTGAGAACAATAATATCTGCATACAGTGGTGGAAAAATGAGACCCCAAGAGAAGTTCTCAGACTTCCTTTAATCCAGAATAGGGGAATTCCAGGGAGGGGAAGTTAGACTGAGGTTTGATTGGTGGGTTTAAGCACAAAGTATATGGGTTACTTTAGGATTGGTAGGTGGCTTAGTGAGTAGGAACTTTCCAGCAGCAGGGTGGGAGAAGCTATCTTTGGCTATATTGAGCTTGCATAAGGATGCAAGACACTTACTGATTGGTTGCCTCTGAGTTATGTCTTTCCAAGAACTGCTTGTTCAGTTCCAGTAAACTGAAACTGAGGCCTGGTCCCTGCCAGGGACACTAGGAGCCTGTGATGGCATTTGTTTGGCTCCTTGGCTCTGTCCAAAACAAAACAAAACAAAAACCCATAAGGCAGGTATGAAGCTGGTAGTATGTTGGTGTTGGGATGCTTGCCTAGAATGCACAAGGGTTTAATCACAAGCACACACACATACATACACACACACACACACATACACACACACACACACACACACGACTCAACCTCTCACTTTCTTCCTGATACTCCAGGGATAGTTTATTAAGCCCTGAGTTAAATGGCTTGTTTCCTGGTTAGAGCCATAAAAAGTCACAATACAGAAGAAAGCTGTAAAGACAGAATCCATTTTTTTGTTATCTATAGAAGTAACCTTATAAAACAAAGCTACTAAGGAATCTAAGAGAAATAAGACATCTGTGTGCTATTATACTTCTAAGTGTATAAACATTTTAAACATTCTGTGGTTAGCAGTTGTAAAAGCCAGGTTTTCTCGGACTCAAAACTGTTTCTAAAGAGCCATGAGTCATGTTGTAAGTTCTTTAGCTTGGGCTCAGAGTTACTGCGAATTTCTTAGTATTAGCTCTACTGCCTCTCTCCAAGGCACAGAGACACTAGAGAGTTTTAGTTCTCAAAATGTATTTTTATGTCTTGCATGTAATTTTAGACCATAAAAAAGGAAACTTGTAGCTCTTTCATGGGGCTATGATGATAATTTTTGCAGCTCTGATCAGTTAGAGAATCATTCCCTGTGGCATATCTTAACAAAGGTCATAAAACTAAGGTTAGGATTTTGTACAGAGAGTCCTAGGTTATCAGCCACACCTGACACAGCAATTAAGTTGCTTCTTACATTTTACCGAGGTTCAGCAGATGAGTTTGTTACATGCTCTGGTAAACAAGATTGTTTTTCCCACCCCCTTCACCCCCCAGGAATAGCCTGTCTTAGAAACCATCAGCAGGGCACCTGGTCTAATCTAAAGCTATTTTTGAAGACTTGGCAGCTGGGGAAATAGAGCTGCTTTTAGGCTGTGTTCTAAGACAACGCTTAAAGGGAACTTGTATTAATTAAAAAAAAAAGAGTAGCCCTCCTGTATACAGTTGATACAGGGCTGAGAAAGAAATCAGAGAAACATCACCCTTCACAGATATGCCACAGATAGCATAAAATATCTTGAGGTAACTCTAAACAAACAAGTGGAAGACTCGTATGACAAGAACTTTAAGTCTTTGAAGAAAGAAATTGAAGAAGACACCAGAAAGTGGAAAGATCTCCCATGCTCTTGGGTAGATAGAATTAACATAGTAAAAATGGCAATCTTACCAAATGCAATCTACAGATTCAATGCAATGACCAGCAAAATCCTACCAAATTCTTCACAGACCCCGAAAGAACAGTACTTAACTTCAAATGGAAAAGCAAAAACCCCAAAATAGCCAAAACAATCCTGTACAATAAAAGAATCCCTAACTTCAAACTCTACTACAGAGCTACAGTACTGAAAACAGCCTAGTATTGGCATAAGAACAGACAGGAGGACCAACGGAACTGAAGACCCAGATATTAATCCACACACCTTCGAATACCTAATTTTTGACAAAGAAGCAAAAAATATCAAATGGAAAAAGAAACATATTTAACAAATGGTGTTGGTATAATGGATATCAACATGTAAAAGAAAGAAAATAGATCCATATCTATCACCACGCACAAAACTCAAGTCCAAATGGATCAAAGACCTCAACATAAAGGCAGCCACTCTGAACCTCATAGAAGAGAAAGTGGGAAATACACTTGAATGCACTGGAACAGGAGACCACTTCCTGAATATAACCACAGCAACATAGACACTGAGAGAAACAATTAATAAATGGGACCTCCTGAAACTGAAAAGCTTCACGGTCAACAAGACAAAATGACAGTCTACAGAATGGGAAAAGATCTTCACTAACCCCACATAAGACAGAGGTCTGATCTCCAAAATATACAAAGAACTCAAGAAATTGGTCATCAAAAGAACAAATAATCTAGTAAAAAAAAAATATGGAGTACAGACCTAAACAGAAGAATCTAAAATGACTGAAAGACACTTAAGGAAACATCCTTAGTCATCAGAGAAATGCAAATCAAAACAAGTCTGAGATTCCATCTTATACCAGTAAGAATGGCCAAGATCAAAAACACTGATGAAAACTTATGCTGTAAATGTTGTGGGGAAAAGAGAACACTTTTGCATTGTTGGTGTGGATGTCAGTGTGGTGATTTCTCAGAAAATTGGGAAACAATCTTCCTGAAGACCCAGTAATACCACTTGGGTATATATTCAAAGTATGCTCAATTGTGCCACAAGGACATGTGCTCAACTATGTTCATAGCAGCTTTGTCTGTCATAGCCAGAACCTGGAAACAACCTAAATGCCCCTTGACCAAAGAATGAATAAGGAAAATGTGGTACATTTACACAATGGAGTACTACACAGTAGAAAAAGATAACAACATCTTGAAATTTGCAGGCAAATGGATGGAGCTAGAAAACATTATTTTGAGTGAGGTAACCCAGACACAGAAAGACAATTATCACAAGTACTCACTCATAGGTGGTTTTTAAACATAAAGCAAAGAAAACCAGCCCACAAATCAAAATCCCAGAGAACCTAGACAACAATGAGGACCCTAAGAGAGATATACATAGATCTAATCTACATGGGAAGTAGAAAAAGACAAGATCTCCTGGGTAAACTGGGAGCATAGGGACCTTGGGAAAGGGTTGAGGGGAGGGGAAAGACAGGGAGGGGAGCATAGAAAAATGTAGAGCTCAATAAAAATCAATAAAATTTAAAAAAGGGAACTTGTAACCCTTGAGTACCATCTCTTTGTATTCATTTTAT